TTAGTCAGATAGCCACCGCAAAATCTACATCCTCAAAATAATCCTAACAAAATTAACAAGTAAATTGATGGAATATTCTAATTACATTTTGTTCTGGACTGGGCCGAGGCTTAGCCCACAATCGAGAAGGCCCAAAATCCCACTAAGGTTGGGCCCAATTGGACCACACTGATGAGCAGGGACCCATGGGCAGGTGCCCATCCCGTGGGCAGAACCTGTGCCCATCCTGACGGGCAGAACCTGTGCCCAGCCCGTCAGGGCAGAACCTCCTCCCGTCAGGCAGGTGCCCATCCTGACGAGCAGAACCTGTGCCCATCCTGTCAGGCAGAACCTGTGCCCATCCCGTCAGGGCAGAACCTCCTCCCGTCAGGCAGGTGCCCATCCTGACGGGCAGAACCTGTGCCCATCCTGACGGGCAGAACCTGTGCCCATCCTGTCGGGCAGAACCTGTGCCCATCCCGTCAGGGCAGAACCTCCCCTCCGCGGGGAGAATAACGTGCTCGGCGCACGTTCTCCACGTGCTCCCCTCCGCGGGGACACGTCACCGGCCAACTGCCCACCTCCGAAAGAGCAGGTCAAACCCACTCTCCGGAGATCTAGGAGCGGTTGAACTAGGGCGAAGACCACGTCCTGGTCTTCACTACGCCACGTAAGCCCTAGCAGTCATTAGGGTTGGGCCTGGTCATCCAGCCCACCTCGAATGACCGTTGGCCCAGCGCTGGGGTCTCTCTATAAATACCCTCTTCCCCAAGAGGGCCAGGTAATTCACCTCTTCTAACTTTCTGTTCTTGCTCTCACTCTGCCCAAATTCTGACTTTGGCATCGGAGTGCCTTGCAGGTACACCCCCTCCTCATCCTCCCCACCGGTGAACAGATAACCGTCCGGCGAAGCGTGGCCAGTCCGTGATCCCTCCTGATCAGGTCAGATCAGTGGCGCCGTCTGTGGGAAGCTAAGCTCCCCCGTTCCTCCGAGCAGAGAACCAAAGCTTCATCTCTCAAAACTTCAAGATCACGAGTGCCCTCCGCCATGGCGACGCTGTTCACAATTGTCCTCCCTTCGTCGAGCAGAAGACTCCGATGGGCAGGACCTGGCTGCCCACCAGCCAGTCTTTGTCCTCCTTTCGCCGAGCAGAAGACTCCGATGGGCAGGACCCTGGCTGCCCACCAGCCAATCTTTGTCCTCCTTTCGCCGAGCAGAAGACTCCGATGGGCAGGACCCTGGCTGCCCACCAGCCAGTCTTTGTCCTCCCTTCGTCGAGCAGAAGACTCCGATGGGCAGGACCCTGACTGCCCACCAGCCAGTCTTTTTCCTCCTTTCGCAGAGCAGAAGACTCCGATGGGCAGGACCCTGGCTGCCCACCAGCCAGTCTTTGTCCTCTCTTTCGTCGGGCAGAAGACTCTGCCGGGCAGGACCCTGGCTTCCATCCAGCCTTGTCCTCCCTTCGAAAACCTACTACCTCGAAAACTTACACGGGACCATATAGCTCGACCATGGAACGCTGAAAAGCTAAAACAAAATACTACAGTTAAACAACACTGCCCGCGAGGGACAACCCGCGCGAACAAGAGGGTGGACTGATACGGCCACACCTTACCGACCATACCCTAGCGGGCACTATACCTCCCCGACAAAAAAGAGAATAGCCCGCTCGACGGCACCCCCTCGATCGAGAGTCGCCGCCGCAGTATCATAATCGGCCGAACGCCCAGCTCGCGATGGGATGTTCAAGCCTACAGGATAGATCACAACCGTGACCTAACTCTTGTCCGCCCAGGAAGCTACCCCGGGCATCCGGATAGTTCCCCACACTACCGGGCAACACGCACCGAGCAAATGTCCCCCACAAAACAATAAACATTCACATCATAATGGAGCTCGGCAAAACGAGCCAACACTTAGCGAAAAAGCATAACAATCATGCACGCACACAAAACTTAGAAAGGAAAACAAGAATTCCATAAAAGAGGCACAAGCCCAGAAGTCAAAACGTTATAATAAACGGGCACGACCCCGGGTGTCGAGCAGAAACGATCGAAGGTGTCGAGCATAATTTTTTGGATGTCGAGCGACTGCAATTTCGCCCTTCCCAGATGATCGATACGATCGACGACATTCTCGCATCCTGCCTGACATATCAGCGCGCGCAACGCTATTCTCTACTTAAGTCATAGCTCTCCTGACAGCGAACTACGACTTGGGGGGCTCCTGTTCTGGACTGGGCCGAGGCTTAGCCCACAATCGAGAAGGCCCAAAATCCCACTAAGGTTGGGCCCAATTGGACCACACTGATGAGCAGGGACCCATGGGCAGGTGCCCATCCCGTGGGCAGAACCTGTGCCCATCCTGACGGGCAGAACCTGTGCCCAGCCCGTCAGGGCAGAACCTCCTCCCGTCAGGCAGGTGCCCATCCTGACGAGCAGAACCTGTGCCCATCCTGTCAGGCAGAACCTGTGCCCATCCCGTCAGGGCAGAACCTCCTCCCGTCAGGCAGGTGCCCATCCTGACGGGCAGAACCTGTGCCCATCCTGACGGGCAGAACCTGTGCCCATCCTGTCGGGCAGAACCTGTGCCCATCCCGTCAGGGCAGAACCTCCCCTCCGCGGGGAGAATAACGTGCTCGGCGCACGTTCTCCACGTGCTCCCCTCCGCGGGGACACGTCACCGGCCAACTGCCCACCTCCGAAAGAGCAGGTCAAACCCACTCTCCGGAGATCTAGGAGCGGTTGAACTAGGGCGAAGACCACGTCCTGGTCTTCACTACGCCACGTAAGCCCTAGCAGTCATTAGGGTTGGGCCTGGTCATCCAGCCCACCTCGAATGACCGTTGGCCCAGCGCTGGGGTCTCTCTATAAATACCCTCTTCCCCAAGAGGGCCAGGTAATTCACCTCTTCTAACTTTCTGTTCTTGCTCTCACTCTGCCCAAATTCTGACTTTGGCATCGGAGTGCCTTGCAGGTACACCCCCTCCTCATCCTCCCCACCGGTGAACAGATAACCGTCCGGCGAAGCGTGGCCAGTCCGTGATCCCTCCTGATCAGGTCAGATCACATTTTAATATGCAAATACAATTTATAATTAATCACCTATAAGCTAACCTAAAATAATAGAAAGATTAATGTTTTTCAACTTAAGTATTTTTCAAATTAGTGTTGGCAGTTCAATTTAAGTATTTTTCAACTTAAACATGAGACAAATGTTTAGCTCAAATGTGATTCTTTAATTAAATGCAAAGCATTTACGTTAGCTGTTACACACAAACCTGACTAATGTGATGAATATAATAAACATGACTAATGTGATGAATATAATGAAATTTAAGAACTAACTGGACTGCTATTTATAAATAATTTAACAAATTTGATAAAATTTAATAAACATGACTAATGTGATGAATATAATGAAATTTAAGAGACTTAGAACTAATCTTTATTAAATAAAATATATGGAATTTTAAATTAAATTAAAAAGATAAAAATATACATTAAGCAAACATTTTAATTATAATCAATTATAAACTTCCACTTAGCAGCATCAATTAGATTTGCGTCTATCTATTATAAACTTCCACTTAGCAGTCCCAACTAGATTTGCGTCTATCTACTAGTTTATCAACTATAAAATATCATATAATTTAATTTTATCAAACAAACTTTAAATAACAAGTTTAAAAAAATCACTAGAACATTTTTACAACCTATAACTCTCCTTGGATCAGAATTACAACTATAAGTTAAAAATCTTTAAATTTATTAAGAAAAAAGAAAGTCTTACAAACATGATAACTAATAGTTCCAAGTTCAATAATTATATTCCATTAAAGCTAACATGTCCAAAAAAAATGATTTAGTTTCATAATAATTTTTTTTGTGCTTAGCCTTTTTCAGTAAAAGAAAAGAAAGCTGTCTAGTCTTGTTTATCCACTCCTAAAGAGATCATTAATTTAATCTCAAAGAGTTATAATGTTTTACTCCATAAACATTTCAAAGAGCAATATTAGATGATCCATCATCATCACATTTTGCCACAAGAGTATATCTAAATGTTAACCTGTCCTAATTAATTAAGCAAAAAACCGTAATAATTTCCACTACTCACCTAATCATCCCATCCTAATAACGTGTCACTACATTACCACTAACACCTATATTTCTCATCTCAAACAAATAGATCCAAACAAGTAAACACACAACACAAAACAAGTCCAACTAAACAAAGAAAAAAGAAAAAGAAAAAAAAACACAAGTACAAAACACAAAGGAGTTCAAATTAATTAGTCATTTGTGGTAAACTAGAGCTTTAGAACTTTCACCACTGTCTCTACCTAATAAAGACACGGTAAATAAACACAGTAAAAAAGTAAAGAAAAAACACTTTGGTTGTAAATCAATATCATCATCATTTCATTTATTCTTTCATTCATTCACCACCTTCAGTTCAGATCCAAACGGCACTGGAATTTAATTAATACCCAAAATAACCTTGTGTTCTTTATTTCTCACTCTGCCAAGTTCGGTGGTTGTGCTGTTTTGTGCTGTGTTGTGCCAGGTTGTCCGTAGCTTTGAAAAACCATCACAAAAACCGCATGTCAGGAAGTTCTGTTCATTCCTTGGTTCGGGTGGTGCCAGGTTAGTTGAGTACTGAAACTCTTCCATTTTTGGTTTTGGTTCTTGTTTATGATTTTTTGTGTGCATCAGTTAGGGTTTCTTTTCTTTCCGTTTTCGATTTTGAGCTGTGTTCTGTGATTGCTTAATGGATCTGATTAATTAATGAGGGTTATTAGTTTACTATTATCGTTATTAATTGTTTGATTACTTACTAAGTGTGGTTAGTTATTGTAAGTTGTAAGTTGTAATCAATCATGTAATGAGTGTTGAAATTCTTGATACATGTTAGGTTAGATTTTTGTGACTTGGATTTGGTTATATTGTTCAGGTTTCCATAGGTTGTTGTTGCATTTTGTAAATTGCAGCGTTTTGTTGAAGATAAAAAGGAAGAGAAAATGAGGATCAGGAGCAAGTACAAGAAACCGACGGCTTTACGTTGTTGCGATGCAGGGGGGAGGTGTTCTACTTTGGTTTTTGTGTTGAGTTTGTTAGGGTGTCTTCTTTTGCTTCAATTATATTCCTATGTTCATCAGACGGAGAGACACGGTGGCGAGACTCATCTGCGTGCCTTTCAGCGTCATCCGCAGTTTCGTGAACTTCAAGAAGCGGAAGAGGAAAACCTTAATGTTCCGCCGCCGAAGGGAAAGAGGTCGCCTCGAGCAGTGAAGCGCAGACCGAAAAGGACAACTACGTTGATTGATGAATTCTTGGATGAAAATTCCCAAATGAGACATGTGTTTTTTCCTGGTCGTAAAAGAGCTATAGATCCAATGCAGGCGGTTGAGAATGACAAGTATCAGTACTACCCTGGGAGAATGTGGTTGGATACAGATGGTCATCCTATTCAAGCCCATGGAGGAGGCATTCTTTATGATAAAAACTCAAAGACATACTATTGGTATGGTGAATATAAAGATGGGCCTACCTATCATGCTCACAAGAAAGGAGCCGCTCGGGTAATTCCAATTTTTTTAATGAACTCTTGTTTTCTTTACAAGTAAAGTAATTATTGCCCTTATAACTTTAGGGTTTTGCTACGGAGCTTTAATTTTTACTACAATAGTAATGCTATTTAATACGAGGGACGGAATCATGAAACTCGCAATTGGAAACATGGCTGTAGCAGAGATTCTTTTAATATTTAAAAAGTACAATATTAGTCTTTGACGGAAAACACGGACGGTGTTTAGTCTTATTTGTGACTTTTGCAAATCTTTACAATATTGGTCTTTGACAGAAAACATGGACGATGTTTAGCCTTGTTCATGCAACTTTGTGAGATGAGAGAGCTGTAATGTAACTATTAAAAAGAAACAAGTATTTCCCATGCATAAGTTTTCCTAAACACATCCTTATCATTGTCATTAATAGGTGAAGTTTTTGGCGAAGAAATGGTATATATTTCAAAGATCTTATTTTGTTCTTGATATGCTAATGTTGACACAAAGTTTATTGTCTTGTTAGTTTATGGAAATGGGATATATAGTGATCTTCAAATTAGATTGGTGGAGATATTAGTAATGCCAAGTTAGAATTTGGCACACAGATGGAACTTAATGGGGCGTTCTGTTCTGTTTTTTTTTGTTAACCTTTGTCCTTTTCTACTTCTGGTATACCCTAATCTATCAACCAAACTTTACTTATATGTCTTTTCGAATTGGATCAAATGCAAATACTAACACGTGGACAACTTATTTTGAAAAAGGAAAAAAAATAATTCTTTTTGAGAAATAAATCTTGCAGATTTTGATTGAAATACAAATTTTATGATAACTTTAGGTTCAAAGCCTATTTGGCCCGTCCAAGGTTCAGAAGTCCGTTGTCTATTTGTTCAAAAACTCTTGGAAATCAAGTGATTATAAGTTCTTATAATTCTGAACAAGAAGTTCTTACTTCCAAGAGACCTAAGCATATTTAGAATTTGATAATTCTACTTTGCTCACTGTTGAGTAGTTATACGAGTCAGAAGCTTACATGGCTGTATCAAAAGGAATGGTCCTTGTTTTTTTTTTTCTTTTTTTTTTTTTTACATTCCATATGGCTGTATCTAGATGGCAAGATTTTCAGTGATTGCAAAACCCTCTATTTTTTTTTGGTACTGGACATGAAATTCGCCATGACAGGTACATCGTGTCTACTAACTGGTTCATAAGGGAGTGGCTCATTGTGGCCGAGGAAAATGTTTTGTATATGTATCCAAATAACTCGGGCAATCTTATATTTTTCCTCCTTTATTCATCTTTCTATTAGCGAGAGCAAAGATTGTATGCTGCTGATGAGTTTGAGTGTAGAATGTTATGGTTCAATGCCCAAGAAGATACCAAAGAGTGCTATTCTTAGCACCAATAGGTGTTTTATTTTCATATGTACTTTACCTTTTCTTGCAGTACTTTATGAACATGAAGTAAACTAGTTTCTCCTTAAATCGACGACATGTTCTTCATTTACTTGTATAATTTGGTATAACTGTTTTCCATACTCTAGTGATTAAAGTGGTGTTTTTGTACCATGTTATGAGCTTATACTAGCTGTTATTATCTCACCTTCCAGTACTTCCCAAGGGAATTCATTTTATTATTTGTTTATCAACCGACCTTAACCTTGTACCGAACTAATGATTCTCTCTTCATCCACCAGGTGGACATTATTGGAGTTGGCTGTTATTCTTCCAAGGATTTATGGACCTGGAAACACCAGGGGGTTGTATTGGCAGCAGAGGAAACAAACGAAACTCATGATCTGCACAAGTCTAACGTACTCGAGAGGCCAAAAGTGATTTACAATGAGAAGACTGAAAAGTATGTGATGTGGATGCACATCGATGATGCTAACTATACCAAAGCGTCTGTTGGTGTGGCAATCAGTGACGCACCTGATGGTCCTTTTGATTACCTTGGTAGCCATAGGCCACATGGATACGAAAGCAGGGATATGACAGTTTTCAAAGACGATGACGGCGCTGCATATATAATCTACTCTTCCGAAGACAACAGTGAACTGCACATCGGACCCCTAACCGAAGATTATCTCAACGTAACGTCTCTCATGAGAAGGGTTCTTGTTGGACAGCACCGAGAAGCGCCGGCTCTATTCAAGCATCAGGGTACATACTACATGATCACATCAGGTTGCACGGGATGGGCCCCAAACGAAGCATTGGCGCATGCGGCTGAGTCAATAATGGGACCTTGGGAAACAATGGGAAATCCATGCATGGGAGGAAACAAAATGTTTAGACTAACAACATTCTTTGCTCAGAGTACTTTTGTGCTTCCTATTCCTGATTTCCCTGGAATGTTCATCTTCATGGCGGATCGATGGAATCCGGCTGACTTAAGGGACTCGAGATATGTATGGTTGCCGTTAATAGTGGCGGGACCGGCGGATGAGCCTTTGGAATATAGTTTTGGATTCCCATGGTGGTCAAGAGTGTCTATCTATTGGCATAGGAAATGGAGATTGCCTCAAGGGTGCAACCCTTTTCAAATAATGTAAGGTTGTTGTGTTTTGTACATTCATTCAAAATAGTCTTATACAACGAAAATACTCGGGTATATAAGCGTTGCGTGTGAAGCACATTGTGTATTACTCATAAAAGGTTATAGAAACATGAAATCTCAAATAACTGTTCAGCGGTTGAGAAAGATTATCTTCTTGTCCATTAGAGTTTTGTTAATCATCAAACACTGTTGATTAGTTTTGGCCGCAGCATTGTTTGTAAAATTAACTATGTAAATGATTCTTTCATGTGCTTACTTTTCTTTTGATTTTTTCATTTTTGTTTCCTTGACTACCATTGTCTACACCTTGTGAACTTTTCTTTTGATTTTTATTTTTATTTTTATTTTATTTTTTATTTTTTTTGTGTGTGTGTTTTTCCTTGGTTACCATTGGCTACATGTAGATATCTTACACACGCACGTAGGAGATGGAAGCATGGTAGAGATGTTCATTTCATGGATGCTTTGGCATGTGCCACATAAAACTAGTGTGAGTTAGGGGTGTGCTGAATCCAACCCAACCCGAAGATCCGTCCCAACCCAATAGTTTCGGGTTAGTCTTTTTCCGTCTCATTCAAAAAATGAAAAAAAAGACTGTCCAAAAATGAATCCGGTATCGGGTTGGGACGGGTTCGTGTTGACCCTCGGATTACCCAACCCGTCCTCATAATTTAATATATGCTACAAAATACACATCTTTCCACTTGTGTTATGTTAAAATAAAGAATTTATGAATCTATTAAAAGAACTTGTGACCAAAAAGTTTACATTCCTAGCTTGTAACATCAAGTACTTGCAAATAAAATAAATATTTCAAGACAATATCCTATTTTTTAAAATACTTTATTAAATTTCTTAAGTTATTAAATTTTTTTTCTTCATATATTTCGGGTCAACCCGATATCGTCTTACATTAACCCGGTCTAAATTAATATATATATATATATATATATATATTATCGGGTTTTTTTCCAAATTTATAACGGGTTAGGGTTATTAAAATAGCCCGATCAAAATTTAGGACAGGGTTAGGGTTAATCATAACCCGTCCCAACCCGTCTCTTGCTCACCCCTAATGTGAGTGACAATCAATCGGCCACTTGAAGTGGGATATTTTAATATCAATGACTTTTATCTGTTATCAATATCTCGAGATTGATTATTTCCACTAGTCATTTTCAAGAAATTTTACATTTCTCAGGACCGAACCAATCTTAGCGTCAAACCAGTTATGATATTCATTCATTTTTCAAGAATTTCACTCCACCTTAAGTGATTTACGAATTAACTTGAGTGTTGAAGTGTTAATCTTACAAGTTGATCTTCGCCTCTACACCAGAGTTGTAAGTGTCGTCGTCAACATTAGGACCCACCTTTCTAATTCTCGTTCCACAACAGAAGAGTGGCGTCGTCAGTGAGAATTGATAGTTGATTCCTGCCAAATCTCACTACTAAACCTTCTCATTCATAACTTCATAGATTCGACATTTGAACCGAATGGAGGCAATTCGAGAAGTTCTTGGACTAATTTGTATCTTGAATCTAAATACTCTTTATCGATACCGTTGGAGAAAATCTGTTCGACCAAACCAAACCTTTCTAGTCAACTTCGAGAGAAAAAACATTTGTCGGCGGAGAACAAAGAGATCGAAGACCAATCCTAGGGTTTCTAGACGAAGAAAAAGTAGACAAAATTTCTAATGCAGATTTTCCTCTGGTCATCGCCGCTGTCATAACAAACCATTTCATTTCTAAAGTTCTGATGATGACAAAAGTTTTTGTAACCCGATCTATTCAAAAACACTTTCAAACCATGAATTAGGATCACGAGATCTGAAACCATGCAAACATTTAACCGTACTTGCTTTTAATGACTCTGCCACTCATCCTTGCAAACATATTCACTTTCCTATTGTTGCTACGCGAAAAATACAGAGTTGCCACCGAACTTTATTTATTCTAAAGGAAAGGGAAAATATCAATAAAATCCCTAAAAGGTGAAGAAAATTGTCTCACAACCAAATTCGAGTTCGAAAGTCGGTTTATGCGAGGGGAAGATATTAGTTCCCCTCACATTCGTTGTACTCAACGAAAACCATCTTGTTTGTCTATGCGCGAATTAGTGTTAAAGTCTAAAGGTTACTTGCTATTGGAAAAAATGGTTTTAAATTAGTGTGCTCACAAAGGATGAGAATCATCGTGCCTACGTATTCTCATATTGGAATGAGAAATCAGAGTCCGTAGTTCAAAGTAAAAAATGAGCGTTTGTGGTTGTTTTTAGTGGACAATGTTAATGTTCGCATCCTAGCAGTTAAACATTGCTTGTATGCTCGCGCATGAGAGACTTAAGCATTTGTTTGTTTGCGGTAGAATGGATGCGCTTCACATTCTAGAAATTAAACGTAGCTTGTATGCTCACGCATGGGAGGCTTAAGCGTTGTTTGTATTGCAGTAAAACGGAAGTAACCTGTCCTTTTTGAAAAGGTTTTTGGAATGCCTTAAGGCAGAAAATTGAGTTTGATGAGTTGATGTTGATTTTAGAGTTTGCTTATGAAATTTGTGATACGAGTTCAATCGTCGGTACTTAGAAGGAGACAAATATCTAACCATCAGCTAAGTACAACTGACAATCAGAATACTCGAGAGTTTAAAGGAAAATGGTATCCTAACCCTTCTTTTTCGCTCTATGAGGACCAAATTAAAATAGTTTTATTTTTAAGTGTTTTAAATGGAAGACAAGCATTGGGTCACAAGCCAAGCAGGGCCAACAACCTAAGTACTTGATAAATGGTGTGTACAAGTACATACACCCCATAATTTTTTATCTAGTTTGTTTGTAAAAATATTTTGAAGTGATTTGGTGTTGGATCAAGTGTTTGAAGGGTGAGATTGAAATTTGTGTGAATGAAACGGGGGAGATGCTTGAATTTGGATTGAGCACTCGCGTTGTGTTCAATTGTATTTGACTTGGAAATACACTTGATGTTGAATCAAGTATATTTTTGTCTTTTGAAAAAGTTATTTTTATCATTTTGGTTTTATCTTGTTAGTTAGCATGCAAAG